AAAATGAGGAGCTGATACCAAGGGCTCAAGTAGAAAGCAAATGTTTTGAGAATGATGATGGCAACATATGTACACATGTGCTTGACACGATGGATGGATGGATGGATGGATGGATGGATGGATGGATGGATGGTAATAAGAGTTGTACAAGCCCCCAATAAAATGATTTAAAAAAGAAATTAAAAAATAAAATAATAGCCTGTCTGTAGGAGAACAAGGAGCTGGCTTCTTTTTGGCGGAAGCCAGCAGACTAGTTTTTAGATGGAGGGTGTGAATGAGGGATGATAGCAAACTCTCAGCCGCTCAATTGAATGTTTTGTCTTGGCCTCGGGAGAACGGCCCTTTCTTAAGGTGAATGTGAGATGGCACAAGTTGGCTCCTCATAAGAAGTCAATAGCTAAGAAAGTTGCCCACAGTAAAAAGGGTTCTTCAGGAAGAAGAGGGTGTGGAGCTCCCAGCACCTTGAGAATGAGGCTGGACATTTACCTACCACATGCCTAACTGGCCCTCAACCAGGGGTGTGCATCAAAATCACCTGAACAGCCATCGCCAAACTGGATTTGGCATGGGCCTATTTTAAAGCCACGAAACCCGCTCCCTTATGGAGTATGTCTTGGAACCGTATGCTGTGTAAGCCGTGGCATCTCTCTGAAGGGAGCAGCGTTAAGCTTCTCCCTCACAGGCCTTCTCCAAATCCCCTTTCCTCTGAGGATTGACTTTTTCTTTTTCCAAACCCACCTGAGTGTGCTGGAAGTTACATACACTAACTCTAAGCATACCTTTTGGTGAGTTTTGCTAAATTTATACCCTCAAGCATCTACTACCACAGCAAGATGTGGATTATTTCCACCATCCCCCAAAGGCCCATTTTCCCATCTCCAAATCCATATGTGGCAACAATATGTTTCTGTCACTACAGATTAGAATTGGAAGACTCATTTTTAAAACCCAAAGATCCATCCTTGGGGCCAGGAAATGCCAGCCATGGAACAAATCTGACTGCTGCCTGTTTGTGTAAATAAAGTTTTATTAGAACACAAGCGTGCCCTTCCATGGCTGCTCTCACACAACACTGGCAGGGATGAACAGACACAGTATGACCCTCCCCCCCCCCACCCCAAGCTCTAAATGTTTACCATTAGACCCTTTACAGACATAGTCTGCTGACTGCTCTAACCCATCTCCCTCAGTTTACTAACGAATAAAGCATTAGAACGTCCCTGGGAAAGGGTATCATGCTGATTAAGTAGAGGGGCAACAAAAAGAGGAAGGCCCTTGACAAGATGGATTGACACAGCGGCAGCAACAGTGCGCTCCTAGGTTCAAGGGTTCAAGGGCAGGCAGCGTTTCCTTCCGTTGTACATAGGGTCACTGTGAGTCCGAAGCGACTTGACAGGCATCTAACAACCACGGGCGAGGCTCCTGGCCTCGCTCTTTCTTCTTCCTCATACCGGGCCGGTTACCGATTGCACATAACAAACGAGCCGACAGAATAGAATTGAGGAGCCCTCTTTTTCTCCATCTCCCTCCTGAGCCAATGGATTGTTTCAGCCTCTGAATCTACTTTCCCTGGTTTTTTTTGACTGTGTGTCCTCTGTGCTTGATGACGCTCTGTTTTGTTTGTACCTTAGTGGTATAAGAAGCCAGACTACAACCTGTTCACTCCATATATTCAGCATCGCCAGAGAAACCCAAACCAGCCATTTTACATTCTTCATCCTAAATTCATCTGGCAGCTCTGGGACATTATCCAGGAGAACACCAAGGAAAAGATTCAGCCTAACCCACCGTCTTCTGGTTTCATTGGTAAGTCTATCCTGAAAACTCTAATGACTATGATCCAAAGGGCAGCATTTACCCGGGGACACAGTCCAGAAGGGTTGGAAAAGAAGGGGGGATGGAAACTGGCAACACCGGGAGGAAGTGAGGTAGGTGGTGTTACTTTGTGGGGATTGCAACCCAGGATATGAAACAAAATATGTATCCATTGTTCAAGAGAAAATTGACTTTCTTGGTAAACCGTCAACCAATTCACCAATCCAAAATTTTAAATGAAAACAAACAAAAAATTCAAGTGATTGGGTGTCGGAAGGCAGGGATTGGCTTGATATTGAACAAATCGATACAGTTGCATTTGGTTGCTAACCACACAGTCCTCAGTCTGGGAGGGAGGGGTCCCGTCTGCTCCTGGGCAGATTTGCAGTCTACTTCACCTTGTACGGGTTGCTCCGAGTCCGAATCAAGGTGATGGCAATGTGTGTGTGCGTGTTGTTTATTTGTTTGTTTTATGGCGGGTGCCTCATAGTCACGTTACATCCTAAGAGCAATGAATCGTAGGCCATCTTGAAAGGAAATGAGCTTGAGTACGAAAAAGAGAACCCCCGGCCCGGTTATCGATTGCAGCATAACAAACGACCCGACAGTTTAGAGGTGTAACGCAGGACCCATCTTTCTGGGCCCCGTCATTTTATGGGTTATCAAAGGTGTTGATATGGGCAATTATCCTGTTTGGCATGACCTCAGCGGAGCCCGCTGGGTGGTATTCAGCTGTTGGGTGGAATGGCTTTACTCTCCTGCCTGCCTCTCGTCCGGGATGATGGGAAGGCCAGGCTCAGCTAGCACCACTGGCTACGTGCCTGCAGGTGGTCCCTCCACCATAGTGGTCTCAAAGTAGTTGAACTTCTTATGTGGCACCTTAGGGCTGCTTGGGAGAATATTACAGATGACTGAAATGAAAGTGACCTATTTGGTAAGACCTGCCCTTGGAAACGTGTTACAGCATCACTTAATCTCTAGTCTATTGGTCAAAGGGCAGTGACAGACCCCATCAGATTCAAGGGGAGGAAACACCGATTCTACCTTTTGCCGCTAGGCACGTCAAAAGAAATCGCAGCCTACTTGAACCCACACACTGCTATCCCCATTGTTATAAAGTGTCGGGCTGAGGAGCTGCTTTGCAGACAAAGAATACCAAAACCAAGAAACCAAACTCAATGCTATCCAGTCTCTTCTCGCTCATGGGGACTCAATAGGACAGGGTAGAATGGCCCCTTTGGGTTGCTGAGACTTTAAATCTTTACGGGAGTTGACAGCCTCATCTTTCGTTCTCCAATGGAACAGCTGGTGGGTTCGAACTACTGGCCTTGTGGTTAGCAGCTAAGTGTGTAGTTCATTACACCACCAGGGCCACTTATCAGCCATAGAACAGAGCCATAAATATGTAAGATGACTGGTAGTTGGGTTTTTGTTGGAACCAATTCTGGAGTCTACACAACTTTCTCAACCAGAGAGCCGTTAGCTCTAATCCAGAAATGGCTGTTATCCGGCAACATAATCAAACAGCCATGCGTTGATCCTCAAAGTTTGTAGTTTTTATCCCATTTTCTCTACCGGGTCTTATCTTACCCCATCATTTGTTTCATGCCTACTTTGATGTCAGTAGGACAATATCAAGGGCTAGCTTATCAAGATCTATCTCCTTGATGATTTGAAAGGCTCGGAAAAACTGGAGGATGTTCTTTTTTTTTTCCTGAAAAAAAATATTATCAAATTTCAATTTATTCACTACCCTGCACTTTACTTGGACCATAGACTGCCCCCCCCACCCCCCGCACCCACATTTAAGCAAGAACTTTCTAGAAATGACAGTGGTTTGTTTATGAACATAGGCATACAGTTTTCCATAGTGAAGGCTTGCAAGAGTGGGGAGTGGACTTCAAGTGTTGGAACAGCCTGGACTGTATTACGTAGGAAGGGTTTAGAAGAGGAGTCTGCCTGTCATTCTCCCGAGCACGGCTTTTCTCTTTTCCCCCTTGAAAGTCATGCCTTTGACATTTTTTGTTTCCAAATCACCCTTTTGACATCCTAACTCTGTCTCTACTATAATTTAGTAGGATCCTGTTGATTTAGGAAAGAAAGTATTATTTAATTTGTCAGCAAAGAGTAAACAGGGCAGACTCGTACTTTAAAAGTATAATAGAATGTGGCAGAAATTTAATAAAGTATTTTTCATATCATTGCTTTCTCTTGAGTTCAGGTGGCTGATATTTGATTAGAACAAAGCTTTAAAACACAGTGGGATGGGAGGTCAGGTATACTGATAATCTACATAGTTTGAAAAATGCAACATAAATCATTAGCCAATCCAAAAACTCATTGCCATGAAGTTGATTTCCAATTCATAGTGACCGTTTAGGACCAAATAGTGCTGATTAATAGCATTTCCAAAATGGTAAATCTGTATGGGAGCAGACAGCTCCATGTCCAATGCTTAACCCAATGTGCCACCAGGAGTTAAGTAATCATGACTTTAGAAAATTACTCATCCACTTGGGGTCGCAGTGAGTCAGTGTTGACTCAACAGGGTTAGTTTAGTGATTGTGAAGTAATAGCTCATTGTGGCTTTGATTTGCATTTCCATTAGGAATCATGATAGTAAACCTCTTTTTATGGTTGTGATTTACACGAAGGTATACAGAACAAACTGCTTTTTCATCAATAATTCACACACATTTTGTTTTGTAACATTGATTACAACACCCACAATGTAACAACATTCTTCCCACTTCTTCCTGTGTATACCATTTCCCTTCATCCTTCTGAGTTTTATCCCTCGGCTAAGGCTGCTCTTTTGAACGTGTATTGGTGATTGCTCTAAGGAGTGAGTACAGGCCTTTCTATCATTTGAGCAAAAGTTAAGCTGTGCATGCGGACAAGGGTGTGTATGTGTGTGTGGTGGGGGGCTGAGGGGGGGTGTCAAAGCACCATAGTTTGGGGAGTTCCATAAATCCCTATCAGACCAGTATGCCTGATCTTTCTCAGGATTTTGCGTTTCTTCCACGTCGCTCTCCCACACCCCTCTGTTCTTCCTGTTGTGATCCTGTCTGGAGGAGGTCAGCAGTGGTAGCTGGGCACCATCTAGTTCTTCTGGTCTCAGGTCATGGAAGTTGAGGTTCTCGTGGCCCATTAGTCCTTTGAACAAATCGTTTCCTTGTCTCGATTTTCTTAGGTCTTCTTTGCTCTGGACAGGGTGAGACCAATAGTTGCCTCTTACATAGCCCCTCACAAGTTGTTAAGCCCCCAAGGTGAATATCTTTTCATGTACTTATCAACAGTTCATATATTTTCTGAGGTGAAATGTATATTAATGTCCTTTGCTTACTGTGTTATTGGGCTGTGTGTTAGGCTGGGTTGTCTAGAGAAACCAAACCAGTGACTCAACTGTGTGTAAGAAAGAGCAGGAAGTCATCTTGCATTGAGCAGTCATCTCCGCCCAGTCCAATTTAAATCCCTGAGTGTGATGCTATCCAGAGTCCTCCTTAGACTCACATAGCTGCATGCCAGTGATGGAGAAAGGTGAAGAAGGAGGATGGACGGTCACAGGCCAGTGGGTACAGTCGGATGGATCCAAGGTCAGGGGAAATATGGTGGGACACCGACAGCCCTCAGGATCAGGTGGCCTACATGGTACTGCCCCTGGAGACACATGGAGTCCCAATAAGCAGGATGGCAAAGAAGGCAGAGAGAGGGGGAGAAGCTCCTAGTTTCTCCCAGAGAAGTAGGCCACCCCCCTAAGGCAGCATCAGGCTGTGGTTGCTTGACAGGTTGGACTCCACCCTCCACTTTCCTATAAATTCAAGTTGACAAAATCTAAATAAATCGGACTGTTCTGGAGTGGTCAGAGTTATTGATATAGTACAGATACCAAATATGTTCTCCCATTCTGTAGGAATCCCTTCACTTTCTTACTTAAGTCCTTTGATGCACATGTTTTATAATTTCAATGAAGTCAAAATAGTTTCTTGTTGTCCCTGCTTTGGGGGTCAGTGCTAAGAATCCATTGTCAGAAACAAGGTTTGAAGCATTTTCTACTAAGAGCCTTATGATTCTAGATCTCACATGTCTGTTATTTTAATTTTTAGTTCATCTCTTCGTCCAGCTTCATCCCTTTGCATTGTGGAAATTCAATTGTCCCAACAGTATTGACTGCAAATGCAGTCTTTCCTCATTGGATGGATTTCCCACATGGTTTTGCTGGGGGGAAAAAATCATGCTGCATATATGCAACTTCCTTTTATAACTATTTCTTGAGAATTTGGAAATTTCAGAGCCTGGTGCTGGCCTTTAACTCTTAATTTACATAATGAAGGAAGATTGGAACTTAATGTGATAGCAGGATTGTATAAGATGGGTTTAAGCTGAATTACACCCTGTGACTTCCTAGCATTCTGACTCTGAGCGAGTCACTCAATGCACTGAGCCTCAGGACGCTCAGATGAGAAACGGGAAAGAATAAACCTAAGGATGACATTGCTGGCTAACGTTTATTACTCTTTTCTAGCACTGTGCTGCCCTCTGTAGTAGCTGGAAGCCACAATAAAAAAACAATAGCAAACTGCTATCAAGTTGATGCTGACTCATAGTGACCCTAGACATAAATTCCGAGACTGCAGATCTTCATGGGAGCAGACAGCCTCCTCTTCCTCCCATGAAGTAGCTGGTGGGTTTGAGCAGCCAACCTTGAAGTTAGCAGCCCAACACAGCCATCTGTACATTTACTTAAGTGTCGGTTCATTAGAATTAAGTAAGTAAAATTTCAGTTCCTCGGTTACATAAACCACAACTTAACTTCCCAGGGAACCTTTCCTTCATCGCTGAAAGCTGTATGGGACAGTATATGTTGCTAAAGATGGGAAAGAGCAAGTGACTAAGCCATCATTAAGGTCCTACTGGATAGGCTATTTTCTGTGGGGGACAAGACCTATGCAGTAAAGGACACAGCCTAGCATTATGGAATTGGTTTTGCT